ATATATACGTGAAGCCATGGACCATCTTGAACGGCCCATCAAAATTGTGTAAAGAGAAATTAAAAGTGTGACATGTGTCCTCGGCAGTAAGTGGGATTCGACAGTTTTATAAATATTTCTGTTTCATAAATTTGTTTATGTCGCTCTAATGCGCTTATATTGAGTGTACAATTAAAATGAATAGAATATACATAATATTCAATAACGAAAAGAAAACATCTAATTTTATTATAACCTAACCTAATCTAACCTAAACATCAAAAAACATAATCGTAAAATGAATTCATAAATCACAATAAATGTGAACATACATTGTCGTCATGTTCTGAACTACATATGACATACAAAATGCAATATTAGCTTGAACCTCATGCATGTACTCATATGTCATTCTTTTGTGCACTTTTATGAATATCATGACATGTCTGCGTTCTGAGCAGCATATGAGCCCGCATCTGTGTCTATTCTTGTCCTCATGTTTGTGAGATATATGAGTACAATATGATCTCAAAATGCATACATTTTCCTATCTAGGAAGTGTACCATTGAATAAATATTAATTTAGACTGTAATTACAGACGTGGTGAGGTGCAAATACAAGAATTGTACTGAGGATGAATTCTCGGGGCCTATTAAAAGATGGTTAGCACATGCCAAGGAGAGAATCCAAAAAAATTCAAAATAAAATATATATTTGCTTCTTTAAATTTTATTCTAATTATTTTAAAAAATATCTAACCTAACCTAAAAAAATAACTAAAAATACAAAATAATTTGGAGTTGTATCCCTTTTGAAATGGCGGTGCGAAATATCAACCTTCTAATTCTAATACCACGTAACTGAAAAATCCAAAACAGGAGACATTTTATTTTGTTTTCTATCAATTGATACGTTTTCTAAATTTGATACTTATCAATTGATAAAAAATAAAACGTTTCTTGTAAAATTTGGATGTTTCAGTTACGAGGTATTGAAATTAGATTGTCGATATACTGGGTATATACTGAGGATATTCTGAAGATATACTGAGGATATACTGAAGATATGTCGAGGATATACTGAGAATATTAAAAAAGCGGACATTTGGATATACTGAGAATATGCTCAGAATATCTTAGATATCCTACGAATATTCTCAGTATATTGCAATATACGACTATTGATATTCTGAGAATATCCTCAGAATATCATTGTGCTATCTGGGCAGATTTTTTTTTAATTTAGCAATTTGCAATTTAAAATATTTATTTTTCAATGCTGATACATATCAGGATCTCAACGTTCGGGTAAAAAAGATTCATCACTAACATGCTATTCTTAAAAATATATTTATTAAGAGGATGCTGAAGTGACGGGCGAACTCCGACGCGAAAGCGCCATCATTTCGATGGTACTAAAAATGAAATGACATTATCGGCGCAGCCTACGGACCTATGCCGCGTAGGTCCGTGTGTACGCATTTGTTTGTAGTGGTGACTCACTACACTGACGTGTGGTCTGTGTACGTGTGTCATCGGAAGTTTGTAAACAAACGATGCTTGCGCTTATTTCCTCGACTGAAATTTCGTTGCAAGGCTGCAATATAATGTCCGAGAAAACATAAGCGTATACAAGGTGTCAAATAAATACAAACTAAATATAGACAAAATAATAAATAGAAAAATATAACATATAATACTATATATATCACTGAAGAAAAATGTCATATACTTTTCTTATTTTTTTCTTTATGTAGTAAATACTAAATAACTAATTAATCAATTAATTAATATATACATATACACATATATTCAATAAATAGTTATTTTTATTTTGTATTTTATATGATAATGACTGAAATAATGGAAGTATATATCATTTCAGTTATATAAAATACAAAATAAAGATAACTATATTCAATATGTATATGTATGTATTCAATAATTAATTAACTTATTTATTTATTTTGTATTAATTACATAAGAATAAATTTAGGAAAAGCATATAACATATTTTTCCAATTAGATATATAGTATTATACATACATTTTTCAAATAAAATATTTTATCATATCTAACTTATATCTATTAAACACCTTGTATAAGTCTATTTTGTCTCGTATGTACATCATTCAGCCATACGCTAGAATTTTAATTGCGAGAAAAAAGGTTAAATGACCTTATAAATTATCTGATAAAATATAAACAGACCACACGTGCAGTAAATTGCTAACTAAAATAAATACGTATTTCTTCAAATCTGTCAGCTGACGTTTAGATCGCCTATGACAATATTTCTTAAAATCTGCCAGTTCACGAATAAATCGTCTTTGGCTCTCTTTTTTTCTAAACGGTCAGCTGACGTTAGATCGCCTCTGACAATATTTATTAAAAATTGTTAGCTGACGTTAGATCATTTCTGACAATATTTCTTACAATTTGCCAGTCCACGAATAAATCGCCTTTAGCTCTCTTTTTTCTAAACTGTCAGCTGACGTTAGATCGCCTCTGGCTAT